ACTTCTTTGTTCTGTGTTTCTTCAGAGGGAAACATTCATTACTGTTGTTCAGAAACATGACTCAGTCAAATCTTAACGCACAGAAATAAAACACTTATTTTTAAACTCGATGTGTTTTTCACTTTCAGAGGAAGTCATGTTCTCTGATGTCCCTCCACAGTAAAAGTCCATAAATCCACTTAGAAATCATTCAGTGTCAAAGTAATCCAGTGACTGTCTGTACATGTATGTGTTCACTGCAGACAGGAGCTGCTTACAGACACATCTGCACACTTTTAATGTTTTATTTATTATTACACACAATGGGACAAACATACACACACATGAATACAACAACAATACTACCATCTGAACACAGCAACAATACAGGAAATGCATAAATCAGCTAAGAAATACTGAAACTCTTTTAACAAAATGCCTGTAGTGTAACTTCACGGTAGCGTTATACTTCTTCTGAAGTCCCCCAAAGCATTATGGGAGCTGTAGTTCCACAACATGGTTAATAGAAGTGAGATAAATACTAATAATAGTAATTTATTTTGATTACCTCTAGTTCTGTTGAAGTTCGGTCACATTAGCACCAGTTTCTCACGTCTCCTTGTTGTCAGTGGACACCGTGTGTTTCCTGTTTGCCTCTCAGAGGTCAGAGGTTTGTAACCGTGTGAATGTGGAACACGGACTCTCTGTTTGATAAGAGTCTCATTCTGGTGACGTGTCGGCATCCTGAGTACAGCAGAGTCATGTCACAAACTCCACTTTAACTGAACTTTGAGATGTGACGGGAGTTTAATCAATTTATTGATTTATCAGGTTTTTTATTCTCTGATTTGTGTTTTTGAACAAAACAACAAACAAGTTAATCCATGTGGACTTTGAACAAACGGCTCCTCTGATGTAACGAGCTTTATCTTGAGCTCTGCTTCGTACAAGCTGTGGTTCCACATTATTGATATTATTAATTATTAATCATTCAATCCCCCAATAATCTCATAATGTTTCTACCTGGAGAACGAATCAGAGCGGCTGAGACGCTCAGAAGCTGCAGGTTTGCTCGCCTCACAACAGAGCGTCCATAGAAGAAGAGCTGAACCCATCAGCCAATTAATCAATTAGCTCATTGATTGAGCATTAAGGAGCACATTTTACACCTCACACTCGGTGCGGAGAGAGAAGACGCTGTCCAGGTGCATTGTGGGAAATATAGGATCCAGTGTTTGTGGGAGTGAAAGTCAGGATGTCTCCACCGCTGCTGCTCAGATTAGGAACATTCTGTTTTGAATCTGTGAGTGCAATAACAAAGTGTTCAACAAGTTCAATGATTGTTTAGTTTAAATATTTTTTATTAAACATTTGTTGGCGATTTCATTTTTGCAGGATTAGCTGTTTTTTTTCTGTAGTTTTTGACTGTTTGTCGGACAAATCAAGACGTTTAGTAATGTTTTCTTGACTAAACTATAGAAAACCAGTCAGACATTCTTAAAGCGTTAATCGATAACAGAAAATTATTTTAAGTTTCAGCTCTTATTTTGAAGCCACATGTGACAGAATTACATCCAGTTTTTTGCTACTTTTATACCTAAACCACCTTTTCGCTTCCTTTTACCTCTTTTAGTTTCGTTCTGTCATCACTCATCGGTAAAAACTTGTTTTTAGATCAATGATTTATGCTTTATATTCTGCAGAAAATGAGCCTCCTCTCTGAGAGACGAGACGCTGCACAATCACAGCAGAGGAGCCTCTGCTGTGATTTATGACGTTTTCTCTTTTAGAGCGAGGGCCCCTGTAACGCCTGGAACATATGCTTCTCCTCCTCCTCCTCCTCCTCCTCCTCCTCCTCAGAGGGTTAAACAGACTCTCCTCGAGTCTTCTCCTGAAGCCATCGACGTGTTTAAACCAGAGATATTTATTGTTTCAGCTCAGAGTTTAAATAAAGTTGGTGTCCAGTTTGCTGAGCAGAGTTAGAAGTGTTTATACGGTGTGTGTGTGCGTGTGCATGTGGGTGTTTGTAGGTGTGTGTGTGTGTATATATGTATATATGTGTATATGTGTGTATATATATATATGTGTGTGTGTGTGTGTGTGTGTGTGTGTGTGTGTGTGTGTGTGTGTGTGTGTGTGTGTGTGTGTGTGTGTGTGTGTTTGTGTGTGTGTGTGTGTGTGTGTGTGTGTGTGTGTGTGTGTGTGTGTGTGTGTGTGTGTGTGTGTGTGTGTGTGTGTGTGTGTGTGTGTGTGTGTGTGTGTGTGTGTGTGCGTGTGTGTGTGTGTGTGTGTGTGTGTGTGTGTGTGTGTGTGTGTGTGTGTGTGTGTGTGTGTGTGTGTGTGTGTGTGTGTGTGTGTGTGTGTGTGTGTGTGTGTGTGTGTGTGTGTGGTTGTTTTAAGGCCTTCAGTATCAAACTAATCCAGTGACAGTTGTCTGTACATCAATGTGTTCGCTGCAGACAGGAGATGCTAAGTCAGCGTTTTTAAATTTTATTCATGAAGTACTTTTAAATAGTAACTAAACGTCCAAACCTCTGTTTTCAGCTGCGTTGTACAGTGTGTTATTTAGTGTTGTTGATGGATTCAGGGCCTAACCTCGTGTAAAGTATTTAAACTCTACATATCGTGTCTGCTCATTTATGTCTCATGAGTTGTTGCAGCAATTTGATTTAGTTTAAAATGAAGAGAACGAGTCCTGCTGTGATCCATCAGCAGCGATACTCGATACACAGATACAGACGGGGTTTAGGGTTAACTCTTTAAACGCTGAGTTCACCTCAAGTTTAAACTTCAACACACTGTTTTCATAGCTGCTCTGTGTGTCGATGGCGTCACTGAAACTTTCCTCTTCTGCTTCTCTTGCTGTCGTTATCAGAGGAAAAGCAAGAAGGGAGAGAAGAACCAGAAGGACCAGAGCTGCCGACATGAAGGAGGTGAGTGTGAGTGTGTGTGTTTCCTCCTCTGACTCTTTCTCACTTCCTGTTTCTGAACTAAATGTCATGAGAATCAATCTGACAGCAGACAGTGAGATGAATATTCTGTCTGTCTGTCTGTCTGTCTGTCTATCTATCTATCTATCTATCTATCTAGATAGATAGATGTATAACTAACAAAGTGATTCGGTAACTAAACCAGCATTTTTACATATAAAAATAATTATTAAATATTAAAATGTATTATTTTAGTTGTAATTATAGTATTTATATTCCTATTTATAAATCAGCTTCCAGACCAACAATGTGAAATGTTTTTTATTAATAGTATAATTTGGAATAATCTTTAATTATTATAATTAATAAAAAGCTCATATTTTGGAGGATTTATTGTATTAAAACATGTTTGAACAGACATCTTGTGTTATGATGTCATGTTGTTATAAACACGTTGTAACAGTAGCGTGAGCAGCTGATCGTCGTCTTGTCACAACAGCTGGTAACTGATAACATTCAAACCGGCTGCATTCCATTTAGCTGAGTCAGTTCCAGGGTCCTGTTGTTGTTCATGCTGCTCTCTGCCTCTGGTTTTACTGGATCACGTGATGGAACTGAGCCAGTCGTTAAAACCCAACGAGCTTCACCTGAGCTGTGACAAAGAGCCGTCTGCAAAGCATTATGGGAGGTGTAGTGTCAAAACTATGAACATCTTAACCTCAAAATAAAATAAGAAATATATAAAAATAATATAAAGAGACCATCAGAGAGAAGATGGTCTGTTTCTATAGAGTTATTCTTGATGCTCGTCATCGGAACCACCGGGTCGGATTCTGGTGAAACCAAATGAACTCATGCAGGTTCACCAGAACCTCCTTCAGCTCAGACTCCAGCAGAGACCGGTCCACCGTGGACAGACCCAGATCCTCCAGCAGAGACCGGTCCACCGTGGACAGACCCAGATCCGGCTTCACCTGCAGCCTTGGACCTGCAGTCGGAGCTCCGGAGGGAGGAGGAGAGCTCAGCTCCCAGCAGCAGCAGCAGCAGCTCCTCCTCCTCCTCCTCCTCCTCCTCCAGGAGCAGAGCTTCTCCTCTCTGGGAGTCAACACCAACACCACGCTGCTGGAGACCCAGGACGTATCGCTGGACCCACTGGAGGGAAGGGAGGCACGGGAGAACCAGAACCAGGACTGAGAGGGGCAGACTGTCAGACCCTGCTGCAGTAAAATGAGAGGTTTTCTAAAGGGAGTCTGGTGCTCAGAGACACTACCACTTTAGTCCACAGGGGGCGACAGAATCAACACTAAATAAAGTTCCTTGTTTTAGATTTAAAGTGAGTTTTACACCTGAGGACATACAGGACAGAATACCAAACCAGTCAGCAGGTGATTACAGGTACGTACCTTAGAGTTCATGCTGCTGAATGAACCATCTGTTGTGAAGCAGTGACTCACCGTCAGTCAGTTAACACTCACTGTTCTCATTTCCTCCCGTTTACGAGCAGGTTGTTCAGTTTAATGTTTAAAACGCTGTCGTCATTCTTACAGTTACAGATGTTACAGGAAACAACTCTGGGAAACAGCTGGTTAGAAGTCGCTCAAGATGTCGCCGTTCATGGTTTTTTCCAGCAGTTTGAGAAAGTAGTAAAAATTCTAGAATGTTTTATTTGTCTTCTACACGTCACATGTTTAGATATTTATTATTTTATGGAACAAAGAATAATAATAATATCTACAAAGACGCAGTTCTAACATGAGGAACAGTGAATGTATATCTACTGGAAGGTGTTGTGTGTATCACAGTCCTTCATCACTGAACACACTGTAGTTTATTTTGACTCAATCACACATTCAAATACTCCAAATGTGGATTCATCCGCCGCTGAAAATAGTCCCCCAACTATTTCATCCTGTTTGTTTGATAAAACACTACAGTGAGAAGTATTTTAATATTTAATGTCATTTTAATTATTTGTTTTTAGTATTTTCATATTTTTATAAAAATATGATTTTATATTATCGTTTTTATTGTCATTCTTATTATTAATTTGATAATTGGATTGTTTTCTTCTTCTCATCCTCCTTTTCAGTGCTGTATTAGTACTTTTACACTAACAGAGTATTTTGAGTGTGTCATCATTACTTTTATTGTAAAAGGGTATTTTTACTTTGTGGTATTAGTACTTTTACTTTAGCAAGCTTCAATTTCAAGTACTTAACAATTTAAGAGATTAGTTTATTAAAACAGTGTTTTGTTGCTGAATTTACATACATTTTGGGATTCAAAAGATTTGTTAAAATATCAGTTTGAAGTGACTCCAGTCTGTAACCTGTTCATCCGTTCAACTGTCACCTGGTCACCTGTCCACCTGTTCACCTTCATGTAACGGAGTCCTCCTTTGCAGGTAAACGGACGTCAGGTGAGCCGGACGTCTGTCTGGAGAAGCAGCTCGAGCGCTTTGAGTGGCAGCTGAGGATCTTAAGGTCGGCCAATGGGAACCCGGAGAGGGCGGAGCTTCTGAGAGACCACACGGACAAGGAGGTGTGCTCGCTCGTCCTGAGCCTCCTGGATAAGGTGAGGAGCTCCTCCATCAATCAAACTGTATTGATCTCTGATGACTGAGACGTGGACATGAAGTTTAAATCCAACATGTGGAAATGTTAAAGAATAAAGATTTGATTTCAGTCGAGAAGAACAATTAATTGTGCATGACACCACGTGACAAACAGGAAGAGGGAGATATAACTAACATGTTAATGTGTGGGAGAAGAATACAATAAGATGAAAGAAAAACAATTTTATAGGAAGAGAAATAATCTGAATCAAAGAACTCGGTGACGTTGAGGAAAAACCTTCACTTTAGATTCAATATTAAATATTCCGGTTGAACGTTGGGGGGGGGTAAATAATCGGACTATAAAACATTGACTTATTATTATTATAATATATATATTTCTTAACTGTATTGTTATATTATTATTTTATTTTAATTATTATTAATAATAACATAATTACGATTTATTTTTTTACTATTAATATCGTTGTGTTTTTATACTGTATTTTTATTATTATTGTTATTAGCATCATTATTATTAACATTTTTATTATTTGTTTTTAGTATTTTAATTTCTTGTTAAAAATAATATAATTTTATATTATTGTTTTAATTTAATTTTTAATTATTCCAATATTAATATTTATTTTTCGTTTTATTATTTAAATTTTATTATTATATTTTTATTTTCAATGTTACTTTCAATATTGTTATTTGGAACATATTTATTTGTTTTTATTTTTTATATGTAAAAAATATATATTGTTTTTTTTACTATTATTATTTTAATTATTATGGCGAGAAAAACTTGACACCCTTTAGTGATAACAGACAGTAAGTAAATGATGACACACGAGTTCTGTCGCATTAAAACATGTTTGTGGTGCAGCAGCTTCAACATCTGTTAGAACATTAATGAACATGAGTCACAGTCACATGATCACAGACGTTATTCATGGGTCAGACAGCAGCTGTGCTGCATGAATAAACATCAGATCAACTTCTCTGATTACTGGTTTCTAAATGAACTACAGTGTGTCTGCAGCTTTCACTCTGCACTTTTAATTCATGTTTTTAGGTTATTTAGTTTCAGTCGCTGCTGCCAACAGTCCAGTTTCTCCACAGACGTCGTTCCTGTTTACTCAGAGTTTCCCTATTCACCGTCAGAACGTCTTCACACTGAAACTCGTCTCTTATGTCATTTATTCTTTCAGGTGAAAACGGAGACGACGGCCGATTTGAACGTCGTGCACGAACAGAAAAGTAAATCTGCGACTGAAGAACACGGGAGAAACGTGGAAGGTAACGAGTTACAGACGCACGAAGAAGAGTTTTAGAAATAAATGATTGTGCTGGTCTGGTACGACCTCATGGTATCAACAACAGTTTACATAACTACATAACTTTACCAACGTCTGAATGAGACGTGGACAGACGCGCCACTCTGCATCATTTTGATTTGTTGTGATTTAAAACATATCAGGTTTCATAGCCCAGTTTTAAAATCATGTTTTATGAACAGCTGCTCTTTGATTCTTCATGTAGAGACGAGCAGATGTGAGGCTTTCACACAGAACCTCTGACCACCAGTGTTTAGTGTCAGTATTCACGTCTGCACGCCATGAAGAACTATCAGTTTAAACTTCAAATGATTCACATTTTCAGTGATATGTAGACTTTCACCAAAACCAGTCACTTAACATTTAAATAATCTGTGTTATAATTTTGTTTCTGTCATTTTTCTGCTGTATTTGTGTTTATAAACAATAAAACTAATTCTATTATCACTAAAGATTTGTACATTTTCATAGACACCCGTTTCATTTCTTGGGTGTTTCTTGCAGATTTTATCTTTTGTTAATAGTTGAGTTTGTGCAGAAAGAACAGGACAGCGTGCGTGTGGAGGGAGGAGAGTTTATCAGCTGCTAAACAGCAGAGAATGAATCCGCTCTGCAGGAGGTTTGTGACGATAAAAAGCAGGTGTTTTTGTTTTTTTTCTGCAGAACTGCGAAAGAAACACGAGCAAGAGAAAACTGAAGTGACCGAAAAGTTTCAGGCTGCTGAGAACGTCCTCAAGGTACAAAACAAATCAGACATTAGATAATCAGAAGTCATCTCACCTTAGATGTAGAAGAACTTTACATTTCACCTGGTGGCCTCTCGCGGTATTGCAGCGACTCACAACTCATGTTCCCCATAGACATCATAAAACCGTATATAAACAAGGTGAATCATGACTCTTTCTGTTGTGATTTATTGATCCACTGAGCTTTTACATTTGTAAAACGTTCCTCAAGTCAAGAAAAGCGGTTTAAAAATCTGTCACGTCACCAAAATGCATGTCACACCCGCAGAATCAAACACTTTTCTGTGTTATGTTGTTTTAATTGCATCAGAGTTCCTTTATGTATGTTGTTTAATTAAATGAATGAAGGGTGAAGTGGAGCAGCTGACTGCAGATCTGCAGCTTTATAACGATCTGAAGAGGAGAGTGGGGGAGTCGACGTTTAAGAAAGACCTGCAGAGAAACATTCAGGTGTGTGACGGCGTCTTTGTTTACAGTCTGTTAAAGGATCTAATAATACTGTTCGTTATTGGAGAAGATTTGTGTGTGTGTGTATGTATATATATATACT